CACACACACACACACACACACACACACACACACACTGAGCCTAATCAATGGTCACACTGGCAGCACTGATTGTCTCAGCAGCTGCCGTTTGTTTTCACATGTAAAGCAGCAGAAATGAGCTTCAAACCAAACTCTGCAGGTCTGAGCTGATTCTACAGAAAACAAGAAAACACGACTCAGCAGAAGTTTGTGTTTCTTGTGCCTCACAGGTTGGAGGAGGCTGGCAGGAGGGTGAGAATTCATGAGAACCACAGAGACAGTTCTCTCTGACAGCGATGCTTCTAAAATACGGGTCAGAGCTGAGCTTTCTGGACACTCCTGACCCTGACCGGTCTCAGCCGGAGCAACTAGCACAACACATGGTTGCGGAGCTGTAGTCTTGGTCCTGCATATTATTTGGTTGCTCACCTGGCTGGTTTTTTTTCTTGCCTCAGCAGCTTTAGAAATGCAGATTTGTATCTTTTTAAAAAAAAAAAAATTCCTTTTAATCATCGGCGTTTTTGCAGCAGGACGTTCAGGACTAAAAGTCTGAGATGACTCGGGGACCCCCGCTGACGGTTTACCCTCAGGATGACCCGTTTGACGCTTTTTATTCTGGGATGTGGAAACACGAGAAGCTGTAAACTGAGTGATGCATTTTGTGCTGAAACAGCCTGTTTTCTGCTGTGAAGGTTGCAGCAGCTGCAGCGACTGCAGCACAGGGCTTATCTTCACAATCTCTCCGGCTGAACGCCCTCTGTTGGCCGGCTGGATCCAGAAGGTCAAGGAGGAAACTGGACTGACACATCAGGACCAGGACCACGGCACTGACCACTGTGCTACTAGCCCTTCTGGAAAAACTCCAAGGATTTGTTTTTGCTTCTCCAGGAACGCCCCCAACCATCCTCAGGGATTCGTAGAATTCACTGAAGAACACTCAGACATGTGCAGACCCATTTCAACACGTTAGACACTAAAGATCACTCAAAACACCAGAAATAACCTAAAATATCTCAGTAATTTAGCTCCAGCTCCTTGTAGTTTAGGTCTGCCTCAAAACACTATTTTAAATGCTTTAATGTCGTTTAAAGTGTTGTTTTCAACATCAAAGTCGTGTCTGTTTTTGACCATGTTCCTGTGTTTGTCTGTTAGCAAAATATCTCATGAAGGAATTTTGAAGAAACATTCAGGAAGAAATAATTAGACATTTGTCTACAACTGATTGTCAACTTGATCCAAGATGGCCGCCACAAACTGACTAAAAACACAAAATGTCTATAACTGAGTCAGTTTCATGGATATCGAATTAAAATTTGTTGTGGTAGTAGCTGAGAGTCATCCTCTACGGAGCCCGCGATGGGACACGGGAGATTATTTTTCTTTTGTGTTCCCACGCAATAGTATTGCGTTACCTTGCAATACCTTTTGCGTTCCCTCGGAAAAGTGGTTTATCACTGTTGTGCCT